ACGCACGCACGCACGCACGCACGCACGCACGCACGCACGCACGCACGCACGCACGCACGCACGCACACGCGCACACACACACACACACACACACACACACACACACACACACACACACACACACACACACACACACACACACACACATATATATAAACGTCCGTATATATAGTATTAGTATATGTATGTTAAATACTAACAGCCATGCAAATAAGAAGTCATGTGGCTTAATTACGTAGTAGATATTCTTAAATATGCATACCTGATCTTATCGAAGGTGGGCGTGACTATCCCAGGGAAGACGTGCGGAAAGTCATACCGGAAGGAATCAAAAGCCACAACAATTAGCCGACTGTGGGAAGATGCTGCGAGGGTTGGATAGATTAGTAAAGCCAATACGCAGAGCATTGAGACACGCATCACGATGATGTCTATTTTATACGGATTATAAGACGGATTATATTATAGAGATCAGTGAGCCAGAGCCAAGGAGCTACATATAACTCCTTGTATGTAGCTCCTTGTGTGTTGTATGTAGCTCCTTGGCCACAAGGAGCTAAATATAACATTATTAAGGAGTTATATTTAGCTCCTTGCTTGGCCAGAGCCAGAGCGAGAGCGCCATCTGTCGTGGAGTTTGAGATACAAGCACAAGATCGCGCTGCGGAACATTCAGTCTCGCGAGATTCAACGCGAACAAATAATGGCAAGGGATGGAATTGTTGACTGTTGTGTTTACACAGTCTGTAACACAGTTCTTTTAGTAATTGACAATTGTTTTTACACAGTGTAAACTTTTATTTAGCATTACTATAAGTTACTATATAATAAGTTCACGCGCAACCAGTTCTGTAGGTGTCAGTTATATGCACGATCTTTCATTTTTTGGTTATTCTTGTCTGTACTGTAGACTGAGTGTAGTGTAGGGTTACGGTAGTGTACTAAAATTACGGTAGGCCTAGCTAGCAATCATTTGTAAAATACAGTAGGCCTAGAAGTTATAACTTGAATAGAACCTAGGCACAAGATTTAGGATCAAGGATCTAGGCTAGAAGGCACAACGAAGTACTGAACGAAACGATGGAAGAAAGAGAATTACCAGATATCTTCGCCATGGGTGAAATTTTCTCCACTGTCGAAAACACGATCCAATATTTGAAAGACAATAATCTACTGCGCAAGGACGGCATGCAATGCCATGGAAAAGAAATGCGATGGCAGGTATTGTCACGATCAATGGATGGCTACAGTTGGGTTTGTCGGAGTTACAAATGCAGGCGTCGTGTCTCAATACGTCACGGCAGTTTCTTTTCGGGCAGTAATCTCTCCTTAAAGAACATACTCGTGATCATCTATGCGTTCGCGATCGATCTGCAATGCAAGCACGTGCATTCCTTCTTACCGCGAGTGAGTAAGGCAACTCTCACCGATTGGTACAACTTCTGCAGAGAAATCTGCACAGATCGGCTTCAGCGTGATCCTGTAGTCTTAGGCGACAGTGTGTTGCCGAACGGAAACAGCATGATGGAAATTAACGATCGTCTGATCGTCAAGAAGAGAAAGCGCAACAGCGGCGCGTCTCCTAGCCCCTCAAACTGGGTTTTCGGGATCGTAGAACGCGAGAGCACGAAATGCATCTTCTACATCGTCGGCGATCGCGAACCGACTACCTTGGTGCCGCTGGTACAACGACATGTGGCACAAGGAAGCACGATATACACGGACCACTTCCAAAGTTATCGCTGCTTGCATCGCATGGGGTACACGCACCAGAAGGTCTGCCACAAGAAAGACTTTATTCATGTAGAACGTGAGTGCACGAACACTATCAAAGCTTTGTGGGGGTTAGTTAAGACGAGGGTGAGGCGGATGAGTGGAGTGAGCCCGACTATGCTACCAGGGGTCCTTGACGAAGTCGTATATAGGCACATGTACGGGCAAGGCACGTCCATGTTCGGAAATTTCACCGCCGACATCGCCGCGCACTACGATGTGACGACGCCACTGACGATGTGAGGGATAGTGAAGCACGTGAAAAAGCAAGATGGCAGGACGTCCTACCAAACGTGTGTGCCTAGTACTTGCTGCGTGAACTCCATGGAGCTAACGATCTATTGCTAAAAATAACGAGATTGGCACATCAGGAAGATAACGTCAGCTTTTCGTCGCATATAACACGCAGGTTTTGCTAGAGACGATCGATGGCCGGTCCAGTGCTGTCACCATAGCAACGTGATCCTGCTAAAGTTTAGCAGTACATTTGGTAGAGAATGAGTGGAAGGTATTTGTGTCAGTGGATGTTCGCTGATCAGCTTGTCCTTTAATACCTATGTATGGGAATCTGTCGGATGAACTATATGACTGTCTTTCCCGTTTACAGTATGACACATTCGTACATGACTGTTAGCATTGGGAGGTATCTGAACTGTGTAGTTGGTAGTATAGGATTGTATAAGGTAGTATATAGATGACGTGTATAATGTGTAAGTTTTTCCGACCCAACAGATACTTGATTTGTGTTGAGGTCCATTGTATGAGTGTGTACCATTGATTACTCCGGAGGGACTGTATTTACTTGTGTGAGGCTGTGTGAGCAATATTGTATGATCTCAACATTTTGCGTCGCATCGTCTGTACACGTGCATCAGGGCCGTACGCAGCGGGGGGGCAGCAGGGGCAGTTGCCCCCCCTAGAGATTTTCAGAGTATGCCTTTTAATGGGACAAATAAGGCAATAGAGGGCGTGGGGGAGTACCTTTGCCCCCCCTACAGAAAATTTCCTGCGTATTTGCCCCCCTACAGAAAATTCCCTGCGTACGGCCTTGACGTGCATTGACTGCTCTCAAAATTTGCATTGTACGCGGTATAGTGTTGCTAAGTTGTGCCATAACAAAGAGTGTGTTGTGCAGTTATAGTATTACACATTTATATCTGACGCTCAGGATTGGAAGGCTGTTGGACGGAACTGTCTATTTGTATTAGTATAGGGCTGTATTTTTTTGCATCTTATTACTGTATTTTAATGTCGTATATTTTTGTTTGTATCAATCATGTCATAAAGAATTATATCATCAAATTAGAATACGTACGAGAAAACGAGATTACAATATTTATCTTGGAGAGTATAATTGCCTAGAAATGTAAAAAAAATATTTAATATATGAAGACTACACGGGAAAAATGATCTATGTCACATTTTTAACTTTTTGAGAAATTCAAGGAATAAGTTTCAAAACGCTTTCCATATTTTGGTGTGATATAGGTGAGTTTAATAATAATTGGACTTGAAACGTTTCGTTCTGTACACAAAGTACATAGATCGTTCTGCACTGGGATCCCGATTCTTTTCCCTGCTATAGAAATGGACATGGATCGTTTTGTCAAGAACTAGGTAGCTTAATGAAAGCTTACTTCATTCTCAACCATATGGCAGCACCATCTCAAATTTCTCCAAAATGTGACTTAGACCGTTTTTCCCCTGTAGTCTTCATATATAATGTGAAATAAAGCAAAGAGAAGTAATTAACAATGCTAGAGTATAAAAAAAAACAATTACACGAATATATAACACATTTGCATAAATACATAATATCAAGAGTACATAATAGAGATGTCTCTATTATGTACTCTTGATAATATCAGGAGTCTATCAATATTATATATATTGATAGACTTCTGATAATATGTTGTGATAATTATAAGCTCGTTGGAAATATAATTATGGAAGCTAAAGTGCAAATCTATAATATAATAAGAAAATTACACACACACGCACACACACACATATATATATATATAATATATAGATATATTGCATAGATATAGCATTTAAAAATTACAAGAAATATGATATTATTATAATGCCTAAATGTGATGCTTCTAAAAGGATATTTATTTCGGCAATGTCTCCACATCGACGCTAGATGGCAGCAGGCAACAAACAACAACGAAATCGACATTTTCAAGAACGTGCGAATGCCAAGTGCATTAAAAATAGATGAGTAACCTAGGTTCGTTTTTAGCTCATCTGACGTAGTCAGGTGCAGCTTGTAGAATCGCATGATTCTCCGTCCGGCCGTCCGTGGTCACGTCAGTGGTCAGTAGCAACATACACACCCGACGCCGGTCGGGCGAATATCCTCGGCCGAGATTTGTGCCCAACTGTTGACGCACGGACGGCCGGACGGACAATCATGCGATTCTACAAGCTGCATCTGACTACGTCAGATGAGCTAAAAACGAACCTAGGTTACTCATCTATTTTTAATGCACTTGGCATTCGCACGTTCTTGAAAATGT